CGGTGATAGAAGTTTTTTTGAGGGTGGGTGATGATGGTGGGTTTAGATTGTCTGTTTTTTTGACTCTTATTATTTTTTGTTTGTTGATGAACTTTTGGTATTTCAAAGCTTACCATCTGAACGCCACCGTGAAAAAAGAAGCAAGATACACAAGTTAATCGTACGTCGACAGACTGCTCTCGAGGATTATCTGGCTCGATCGAACACAAACTGAACGCTAATCGCAAATCAAAATGGCAGGAAGTTACGATGAATGTACAGTTGGTCGCGAGGTAATGAACGTTAAGTAAATCACAATTCTGAATACTATATCTTCCTGTCGATAGAGATCATTTAATCCTGAAGACAAATTTCAAAAGGATTCATGATCGAATTGCAATATTCCAGGTTCTATCTTCAATTATTCGATATATTGGGAATGATCGCAGACCAACTCCTCGACCAACTGCACGAGACCCGGAGGCTTGTTCGCTCAATCGGCAAAGAATTGCCCAGCAGTATCTACGGTTGCAAATCAATCGCGTGTCCAAGATGCTTAGATCGAAAAAAGGAAATAGAAAAATTGAAAGGGCGGTCCAGAACGGATCGGTAAAGCTGATCGTCACCTTTGGTACGTAATCGCCGAAGCCGATTGTGCTCATGGAGATGAAGACGAAGTAGAAGCTCTCGAAGAACCCCCAGCCCTCCGACAGGCAGAAGAGTGTCGCTCCGATGAAGATGTAGCCTAAGAGGATGAAAATCGCCACCGAGATCGGCAAATTGAATTCGTCGTCGACGGCGAATGCGGATAGTGCCGGAGTGCCCGGCGTGTCCGGGGCGTTTCCGTCCAGGTTCAGTACCGTTTGCGACTGCTGCGCCTGCTTTTGCATCTCCTCGATGTCTTCAGGGTTTATTTGGGACGGCCTCTTGAACGTAGCGAAGTCGTAGACCAACTGAACGCCTTTCATCACTTCCTGAAGACGCGATTAACAGATATCAATGACTAGACTGTACTACTGTGGATATTTAATTTGCTACACCGGACATTTTGAAATTAACCCTTTGCGCTCGAGAGGTCAGTTTCAGTCATGTTTAATGTTTAGACCTATAACTAGTTCTTCACTCCTTTATAAATGATCAACGACGGTTCACCTGAACAGGTACGGTTCGCCGGACTGTCCGGCAGCTTCCGGTGTAGTACAGTCTCCTGACGAACGCCCAGAGGAACTTTATACCCCGCGTGAACAATTTACCAAAGTCAGCCAATATGATCAGGAACATGGGGATCCCGAAGATAGCGTAGACGATGGTGATAGCCCTTCCGGTGTTGGTGCTCGGCGAGATGTGCCCGTACCCTGCAACAAAATTCACCGATTCAAACAGTCTGTCTATAATTAACCGTATGCTCAACAGGTTTCAAGCTCTCGTCGCACCTGAATGAAACCGAAAATAAATATCGAGTCGCTAAATACGCGAAGGCACGCGGTCTAACTTTAGAAGCATGATTTGGCGGTTGTCTGCTCGCGATCAGTCCGCGCGTCCTCTTTCCGAACGCATCCGCGTGGCCATTGATCGGAAAGAACGCGATTGGACGCGGACCAGGTCACGTATTAAACGATTTCTCGTTAAAACGATTAATCGACCAATGTTGGAACTCTGCTAATTAAGGCTTGAGCCTTTGATCCGCGTGAATTTCTGCCCATGTCCTATTTTCACCCGTTTCCATGTCGAACGCAGCGGACAATTCAATCTCGTTAGCTTAATATTTCTATGATCAATCGTGCAAGATTGTTTTCGAGAATTTAATCCGATCAACGGTCTTTCGTCTTGTCAAGACCGCGTGCGCACACACGACCGCGAAGTATTTGACTTGCTAATTTCTCGAGTGCGACTGATAACTACGTTTATTCCATGAATCTCGTCCTTTCGCGCTGCAGTTATTCCATTTGCGTTTCATTTGCTTCGCTTATACGCTACTATTATGCATGCATTCTTTTTTTATTTTTACGTTAACTGTGCGTTTACTTTACTCTCGTTTCGCGACCCTTTCCAGCTGCTATAAGCTAGATACTATATTTTCGTTAGCTGTGCGTTAAAGTTGTACAATAGAATTGGTCGTTTCGGAAGACAGTTCGACACAATGGCGTCCAGGATACGTTGAACGTTCGAAATTAGAGTATTCAAGTAATTTTCCCTCGCACTCCTCTACGCATGCGCGTTCAATTTCGATACCGGTACCACACACTGGTACCACGACTATGTTCCTGCCTTTGGAAAATCAATACGAGACTCGTAAACCGTTTTTACGGCGAACATATCGCTCAGCTATATCGGTCCCTCGTCCCCTAAAACCTGGATGTTCGCTTAATCCAGCGGAAAAAAGTTTCCGGGATCCCGATTGATCCTTGCTCTGAATTTAAGGACTCTCCAGGCAGAAGAACGATACCAACTTCGTCGTTATTGCTGAAATAGATCGTCACAAGCCTTATATCTTAAAAATTTTAAGTTCCATTATTTAAAATGAAGAATTTATGAGCATTATAAATTTGAAAAATGCCTACATCTATAGCTTCTTAAATCCTTTTCATCCTCAATCCTTCAACTGGTAGCTACCAACTTTCCAATATCTAATAAAAATTCTAAATTTCGTCCTTATAGCTAAAACCGTATATCATTGGAAGTTTTGTAATCGAACAATTTAAAGACTTACTATTTCAAATCTATGAGCCTTATATCTCTAAAAATGCCTGAGAACCTATAGCTGAAATCCTTTTCGTTCATTTCAATAAGCAGGTATACAAAATTGCATGAAAAAAATAGTTAAGAAATCTTCCCAAGCATCGCTTAACAAATGTTGCCCCCTGATTGTCTCACCAATCGTCGTGATCACCGTCAGACAGTATACAACAGCGTTTAAGAAGGTCCAGCTCCTCTGTCCACTGTACGTTTGCACGCCAGCCTCATGAGCTTCGTGCAGCTGTTCCTCGAACTCCATCAGCTTCTTCCTAGCCATGCTCTTCCAGTCATCCTCCCTCATATTATGACTGTAATCCCACAAACTATCCAGAAAGTCCCTCTTCACTCTCTTCACGCCGCACTTGTAGAACGTCTCGAAGGCTCCTTCGGTGAACCTGAAGACGAAGGCACCCAAACCGCAGTAGATGATTATCAGAAGCAGTTGGGACAAGCAACGGTTCTTCAGGTCGTTCATGATCTCAGTCTCGATGGGATTCTGAGCGACGAACGCCTTGAACTCGGACACCACGTCCCTTAGAGCCCTGAGAAAGTCCATGAAGGTTGTCTTCTCAGAGGCTACTTCTACTTCCGGTTCGGGTGCCACTGGTTTAGGAGGCTCCTCTTCGAGCTTAGCATCCTCTTTCTTCTCTTTCTTCTTTCTGCCAAAGAAAGGCACCCACCAGAACCAGGACCTCTTCCCCTCTTCCCCATGTACCTCCATCATCTCTACGGACTGCTCTATTTTCTCTTGCTCGGTCTCGCTCAAAGGCACACTAAACTTCCTGCGTCTCAGAACGGTCTCTTCCTGGGCATCTTCGTAGGGATCCGGCGTGTCAGGATCTAGGATGCTCTGCTCCCTCTTCAGGTACTCCCTCTGGGCCTTGGCGAAGTCCTCTATCAGCGAATCGTTGCTCAGAGGAATGATCTGTTTCTTCAGCTCAGTTGAGGACCTCTTCATCACCGCCTCCTTCGGTTGCTGAACAGGGAACGTCTCGCTCTTCTTCATCTTAGGGTCCTCGTCAGTGTCGTCCGTCTGACTGTGCATCCTGGACCGTCTCCTTTCCGGCTTCGGTTGACCTTCGGCCTCTTCGGCTTTCTGTTTGCTAGCTCTTTTCTCCCTCGGTGGCTTCTCGATAGTCTCCTTTTTCACTTCCAGCTCGCCACTGGTCGTCCTCTTCGCGCTAGACTTCTTCACTCTAATTCTGACTCCCTCGGGTGACTTTGTCCTCCTCGGATGCTTGTCGTACCTCTCATCCAGGTCACTGGAGTCGGTCGACTGACCGTGCCTCTCGATCCTCTCCCTCGACTTCTTCTTCAGCCTCCTTTCCAGCTTCCTAGGCTCCACCGCTTGGTGATCCGTGTCGCCGTCCACCTCTTTGGTCTTCGGTAGCTCCTCCTGCCGCCTTTCCGCCAATGGTTCCTCCTTCGCAACTGGAGCATCCTTTATCGAATCATCCCCCGGAGCATCCTCCTTTACCGGCCGAGGCTCTTCAGCGTCCCGCGACCTCTTAGGACTCTTTTCCTTAACATCAGCGTTAGGGGAGCTAATCTTCTCTTCTCCCTGCCGTTTCTTGGCATCCTCTTCCTCCTCCTCCTTCTTCTTCGCCTCCTCTATCTTCTGCTGTTCCTCCCGTTTTAGAATCTTCTCTTTCTCTTCTTGTTCAGCGTCGTCCGCCATCTTCTCCATTCTGGCGCGCCTCGCCTCCTCCTCGTCGTCCGATGTCTCCACCAGCTGGTTCCTGGTGGACGGGTCCGGCGTCTTCTCGCGTCTCCTGGCCGCCGCCTTGCGGCGTCTGTGCACCGTGTAGCTGTCCTCCATCGCGCACGCGGCTGGAGGATCAAGCGGCCCGCGGATTTTTAATTGTCTCGCAGGTAGCGGGGTTCACTTTGTCGGTTCCCTTGTTCACCGGTTAACGGGAGAACGATCGTCGTCGACGAACGGTTGGAGAACAACGGCGACGTGCCTCTCCTGGCCCCGGTGCAGAGGCGCGCACCGAGACAGAAATAAAACAGAGGCTGCTCCCACCACCCGCCGCCACCCGGCTTCTTCGGTCATACACAACCAGGCAGCGGCGGGAGGACCGGACCGGCGAACGAACGGCTGACGCCGCGTTTTGCCGCAGCATACCGGGTATCGAGCGAAATCGCGCGCGCAACGCCAAGCGCAAACGATGCGACGCGACGTGGCGCCTGCAGCTACCGCAACACCCTGCACGCAGCGGTAATACCCGCGCAACCCGGTCAGCCCAACCCGCCTGGCTTTCGATTGCTTTCGAAATTTTATTCGGGTAGTATTTTTCCGTTTGTCCATTGCATCGTTGCTTTATCTTGTTTGTTTGTAGCTTCTCTTGAGGCCAGGCCTGTCTTCTTAAGGATTGCTTTGGAAGATATTCTCGTTGCAGCAGTGTCTTTCGATTTTTATTGTATCGATGCTTCCTCTCACTTGTTAGCTACTCTCTTGGCTTCCTTTTTATTACTATCTATTATTTTGTTACTGTTATTAACATTAACGCTGTTACCACCTATTCTTCTTACTACCGTTATTAATATTATTTGAATTCTAAAACTTCATCGTGAATTCGACACGATATTTCGAGGCGATGGTATAAAATTATGTAGATTGTATTTTCCAGAAATACGCGATGGGACGTGTACGCGCCATTTTGTCGGCAGATGATCCCTCTTGAATGGCAACCGGGTGTACATACACGCTCTCGTAACCCCTTGCCTTTATAACATCGAATAAGACTCGTAATATTCTTTTTTTAACAAATATGGTATTGATAATCGTTCTTGTCTGGAATATTCCTCTCTTCTGAAAAAGCGTGCAAATTTCAAAGGAATTTCCGTAGAAATTTAATCCGCACTGTGACAAACGGCATGGAGGAACAGCGTCGATACAAAAGGCAATAGAAATCCATAGCGTGGGAGGCTCAGAGTCAATTAACAGTACAAACTTCAATAATATCAGCCCCTGGGCTCTCTTCAATCGACCTCCATTTCAATCGCCGCTCCGTTTACACTGTCCTCGCGAAAAATTCCATAAATTTATCGACGGATGCGCCCACCTCCGATTCACAATTCACCGCACCCGCGATGCAGTCATTGTTCATGCATAAAGCTCATACCACCCGAAAGAACTCCTCCGCGTGTTCAACTTTCAGCGTTCCTTCGCTTCGGTCCCTTATCAGTGTCAATTTTGCAACTCGACGGAACTTTCTATCGCCTTCGGTCTGTCCAATAAGTCACACTAACTCACCGCTTGTGCTCGGTCCATTCAATTTTCACTATTCGATTCCTTCGTTTCGAGGATTTCTCTATTTCGTCGCATGACAAATTTTATATTCAATATTTTTCATACTTTTTCATGGCTCGAAGAACACGTTGAATTGTTTTTAATCGATGCACTTATTAATTTGATCGTTTAATCGCTATTATTCGTGCCCATTGCGAAGTCGTTAAACAAACGTGTCCTTTCTACGATAAAACACTTCTTAAACGTTTGTCCTAAGAAGATTTATCTTTCTGCCGTTAATTTTATAAACTTTCTTCCCAGGGGAACGTCTTCCGATTTCCGTGCGTTCAACCAACAGGTAAAACAAGCTTAATGAACCGTTGAATGGACATTATCGACCCAATTTCCCCCGTTTTCGATTATCACGCGGAACCGGGGAACTTAACTCGCAAGTTGCTCCCGTAATTATCCTTCTTCTGCAACATTTACTATCTAACTTCTATCGTATCGCTTCCTTTGTTCGTAACGAGGACGCGGAACACGAACGAACAGCAAGAGAATGTTTACACTTTGTGCTCGGAAACAAAGTGTGAAAGTTTCGCTGCAGCGAAAACAGAAAGAAATAGAAGGAAAGTTTAGGAAACTTTGGAACACCTTTTTCGGGTTCACACTCAGTAGATCGAGAACACGCGTCGCATAGACGAAATGTCTGATTCTACGAGTCCCCGATTCGCCGACCCGGCAATTTCCCTTTGTTTCCGTCACTGGATATTTCTCTAGGACGACATCTTTCGTTTCACGTCGCTCCCGGTACTTTTGTACTCGAAAACAACGAACGCTCGATCGTTAAACCCGTTGCATCTCGATTCTTATAACTCTACTCTTTGAATATTTTAAAATTTCAATACCATTCAAAATTGAAGGATATTTTGCTCCAGACTTTTAACTCATTTTCTTGAATAAAATCATCGCTCTTTGGCCCCTTTTCAATTTACAAACGATACGCTCTTCTAAAATGAAAAAGAGAAACAGGAAATATAAAAATGAGTGCGATCGATGTGAAAAATGAGATGGTGTCCACGGTCGAAGAATAATGACCGAGGAAATCCGAAGTCGTTCGAACGCAACGTTAACACGTATCAATGTATCTCTTGGAGAATTACCAAATTGCAGTCAAGCCCGAACGATTCCTCGAAAATAAAGTGGCCAATGAACACGTCGGTTTCTTTGTACCAAAAAGTTGAACGTATCGTGACTAATTAGACTCTTCCTGTTTTTCACGCCAATCTTAACGAAAATATAACAATTACAATTTCACTATGTCAATTGTTTACAGACGAACGTTTTAAAGTTTCGCAGAAAATAAATTTCTATCTTAATACAGTCGCGACGTCTCGCCGTCAAAAAAACAATCTCTTGATAAATAATTCACGAGCGATGATTTTAGAACGAGTCAGGCTGCATCGCGAAATATATTTGCATTCGCCGACATATTTTTAGCTCTAATGTTACTCGATGCATCCATTTCGCTGCGAGAACGAAGTTACATTGTACAGGAACTTTCGCAAATAGATTAAAACCGGGAAAAGCGGTAAAGCCTCGCAGTTTCCTTGTTAAAACGTTTCGAATCGCGTTTCTGAAACAAAGGGCCCGCCTCGTCGTTAGCACAAAGGGTTCGTGTAGTGACTATGAAACTTCAAAGTATCCGTTACGGTATCATATCTAGATGAATTTGTTACCAATTCGAAACCATTCAAAAATACTTGACAACGAACGAAAGTTACGATACTTACTAATAAAAAATGAAAAATTTTCGAATCAACATTTTAGAAACAGGAAACGAAAAATGAGAAATACGGTTTACAACTCTGGATTCTTATTTCGATCGGAACCGTCTCGGTCTACCTTAAATTCATTCCCGACGTTCGCGTAACACGCCTGCCATTTTGAATTCCTCGGGGACGCCTGGCGTCTCACTTTTGTTCGTCGCGAAAAATGCGGAAAATAAAGCGATTGAGGATCACGAACGTGTTACAAATGCCATGGCCGCGGTTTCGAATAGACTCGAAAGGAAATGCGGACGACGCGTTACAGGCTGCTGGGCAATTTAATCCGTTGAATGCTGGACCATTCTCCCCTGTGATTTCTTCCGCGATGATACCCCGAATATCTTTCTCGTTGTTTCGTTCGCGGACAATGGGAACGGCAGTTAACGAGCGGCAAAGCAATTGAAACGGAACTCGGCCGGACCGTTTTTGTCGAAACACGAAACCTTTTCGCTGTCGGTCTACCGTCATTTTTAATCTGCTTTCGTCCGTGTTGGTCGTTATCACCAGCAGGGTATCCCGCAAATAGAGAACGTTGTCGATTAATATACAGACGCTGGAACAGAAAAAGGAATCGTTCGTTTTACTAATTATACATTGTCTTTTGAATTAGTAAAACGAACGATTTCTTTTTCGATTGCACAGAATTTAGACGTTCGATTATGTGAAGTGTAACATTTCATTGTATAACATTTTAAGAATTATCTGTCCCTATGATGAGCGCTAAGATTGATAGTGTAGTAAAGAAGTGTACGTAAAAACTAATTTACGCTCAAAATCATTTACGATCTAGTTTCATGCTTCGTCGCAATACTTTATAGTAGAACTAGATAAATTGCCCCGAATAATTGCGTGTCGGTCCGAACATACCAGTGATACGCTAATGACAGTCTCATTGTCCTATCGGATCGTTTAAATGAGCATTCCGAGGGGTAATTAACGGGCTGGAAATTTAGAAATAAATCAAACGGTGTAGCGTGAATTTCGGAGGACGTAGATAGTGTAGAAATAACCGGGGAGGTCGATCGATAAACGGAGAAAATAAATAGCTATATCGATGTGCGCTAGGTCGCTATTAATACTATAAGTTGGTGATTTCAACGAGTGTCAGGTGGAGGCGCCAATGCATTAATGGAGTCACGTGGATTTTATGCACATATGACGTATGCGATCGCAGCGAATAACGAGTAAACCGTTTTATTTAAACGCACAATCGATTCTTTGATAAGCGTATCAATTGTTAGTTACTAAAGGTTTAAATTATTAATCCTCGAAACGTCGAGAGTTATTTATAATTTCTAAATTCAAAATACGAATCAAATGTCCAATCAAATATTTAGATTCGTTCGTGTTTAGATTCAACCGTTCGACTAATAATCGTAAAGAACTCGTATATACCGCGATTTTATGACTCACATATATACTTACTCTCAACGGTAAGTGGGCAAATAAAAAAATGTTTATCTTCCGTGAGTATAGCTGGAGTCTGTTCATCTCCCCTCAAAAAACTAGCACTGCGAACGATTAAGTTTCAGGGTGTCTATTTTCAGAGAGCGTTCCGAGTAGAAGACAATATTGCGTAATTTCGTACCAAAACGAAACGAGATGGCCTCTTCGGTACAGAACACGAAAAGCATGGCGCCTAATCTTCCCACGAACATCACCCACGATTCTTCTTTTTCGTTACGTAATGCCGGCCACTCGAAATAGTACGCGTGGGCACGATCTCCCGATGCCTGCAGAGTCTATGCACGTGGAACCATCCTCTTGGACAATCGAACCTCACTTTTACGAACAGCGTTATCTTTTCTCCTGGTTCGTTTCGTTTTCTCTGTAATTTCATTACACCTTATTAGCATTCGTCTGCATTGTTAACTAACGTTGACGTTTGTTTCTCACTGAATAAGAGAATTACTTTGAATACTTATAATAGACGTTATAATTATCATCGTTCCCTGAGGAAGACAAGTTTTCGTTGTAATTTATCGCGTTAAGTAATTCCAATGCTCATTTACTACGGGACTTTTACTTAAT